GAAAATTAAGCTGAATGGGTCAGTATGGGAGCTGAAGGATGTCAGGCATATTCCCAACCTGAGAAAGAACTTAATATCCGTAGGCCAGTTGGCTGGCGAAGGATACACCACGACCTTCCATGGAGATGATTGGAAGATCTCAAAAGGCGCAATGACGATTGCCCGAGGCAGGAAGACTGGGACCCTATATATGACAGCAGGTGCACGTTGTTTGATCTCAGTTGCAGCAGGCAATGAGACTTCAAAGCTGTGGCACCAGAGACTCGGTCATATGAGTGAGAAGGGGATGAAAATCATGCATACAAAGGGAAAACTCCCAGGACTGCAGTCAGTGGAGATGGATATGTGTGAAGAATGTATACTTGGAAAGCAGAAGAGAGTCAGCTTTCAGACAAGTGGCAGAACCCCCAGGAAGCAGAAGCTAGAGCTCGTTCACTCAGATGTTTGGGGACCAACCACCACTGCGTCGATTGGTGGGAAACACTACTTCGTGACTTTTATCGATGATCACTCTCGGAAAGTGTGGGTCTACTTTCTGAAGCATAAGTCAGAAGTGTTTGAAGCTTTCAGGAGATGGAAAGCTATGGTCGAGAATGAGACCGGTCTGAGAATAAAGAAGCTCAGGACCGACAATGGCGGTGAGTATGAAGACACCGGATTCAAGAAGTTCTGCTATGAGCACGGGATCAGAATGGAGAGAACCGTGCCCGACACGCCTCAGCAAAATGGTGTAGCTGAGCGGATGAACCGAACGTTGACAGAGAGAGCCAGAAGCATTAGAGTACAGTCAGGCCTACCGAAGCAGTTCTGGGCAGAAGCGGTCAACACAGCAACTTACTTGATCAACCGAGGTCCATCGGTTCCATTGGAGCACAGAATACCAGAGGAGGTATGGTGCGGAAAGGAGGTAAAACTCTCACATCTTAAAGTTTTCGGTTGTGTAGCTTACGTGCATATTAGTGATCAAGGCAGGAATAAGCTTGATCCCAAGTCAAAGAAATGCACTTTCATCGGCTATGGTGAAGATGAGTTCGGCTACCGCATTTGGGACAACGAAAACAAGAAGGTGATCCGGAGCAGAGATGTGATATTCAACGAGAAGGTGATGTACAAGGACATGCACAAGACTGACGACTCAGAGAGCGAGTCCACATTTATAGATGCAGATGATGTCCCGAGTAACCTCTCGGAAGAACCCAATGCAGAGGGTCCTCAGCAAGAAGAGCCTGTTGGACAAGATGGTGCGCAGGAGCCCGACGCACCAGCTCCGATATTAAGAAGATCTTCTCGTCCTCCTGTACCCAACAGGAGATACATGAACTATCTGTTGTTGACAGATGGTGGGGAGCCTGAAAGCTTTGATGAAGCTTGTCAGTGTGGAGATGCGAGCAAGTGGGAACTTGCAATGAAAGATGAGATGAAGTCTCTCATATCAAACCAGACGTGGGAACTAGCTGAGTTGCCCACGGGTAAGAAGGCACTCCACAACAAATTGGTGTACCGGGTGAAAGAGGAGCAGGATGGTTCCATAAGATATAAAGCCCGACTGGTTGTCAAAGGTTTCCAGCAGAAGGAAGGAATTGATTACACCGATATTTTCACTCCCGTGGTGAAGCTAAATACTATCAGGACCGTGATGAGTATTATAGCAATTGAAGATCTTCATCTCGAGCAGTTAGACGTGAAGACGACGTTTCTTCACGGAGATCTAGAAGAGGAGATATACATGCACCAGCCAGAGGGTTTCTCAGAAGAAAAGAAGAAGAACCTGGTGTGCAGACTCAAGAAGAGCTTGTATGGCCTGAAACAAGCCCCAAGACAGTGGTACAAGAAGTTTGACGGTTTTATGCACAAGGAAGGTTTCCAGAAGTGCAACGCCGACCACTGTTGCTACTTCAAAAGATATCAGTCCAGCTATATCATCCTACTGCTGTATGTTGATGATATGTTGGTTGTAGGAGCAGATATGGAGGATATCAAGAGTTTGAAGCAGCAGCTGTCAAAGGAGTTTGACATGAAGGACTTGGGTCCAGCGAAAAAGATCCTTGGAATGCAAATCACGAGAGATAAGAAGAGCAGTCTCTTACAGTTATCTCAGACGGAGTACATCAATCGTGTTTTGCAGAGATTCAACATGGGCGACGCCAAGCCTGTGAGCACACCCTTGGCCAGTCATTTTCGTCTGTCAAAGGATCAGTCTCCTCAGTCAGAAGAAGAGAAAAAGAGTATGGCTCAGATTCCTTACGCCTCAGCTATCGGAAGTTTGATGTACGCAATGGTCTGTACGAGACCAGACATTGGCCATGCCGTGGGAGTGGTCAGCCGGTTTATGTCGAATCCAGGAAAAGCTCATTGGGAAGCGGTCAAGTGGATTCTGAGATATCTACGAGGCACCACACAGAAGTGTTTGCACTTTGGTAAGGGAGAGGTAGAAGTGCAAGGGTACGTAGATGCAGACTTCGGCGGTGAAGTTGATCATCGAAGAAGCACCACCGGCTATGTATTCACCGTTGGAACTACAGCTGTTAGTTGGATGTCACAGGTACAGAAGATCGTTACCTTATCCACTACAGAAGCTGAGTACGTTACAGTGACTGAAGCCAGTAAAGAGATGATATGGCTTCAAAGTTTGTTGACAGAGCTGGGATTCAAACAGGAGAAGAATGTTTTGCACAGTGACAGCCAGAGTGTGATACACTTGGTGAAGAATTCTGCATTTTATTCTAGAACGAAGCATATTGCGCTTCGGTACCACTTCATCAGATCCCTGTTGGAAGATGACGTGTTGAAACTGGAAAAGATTCCAGGAAGTAAGAATCCAGCAGACATGTTAACAAAGACAGTGACAGTTCAGAAACTGGAGTTGTGCGCAACTTCAGTTGGCCTTCATGCATAGATGATGAGGGCGGAGCCACACAGGAGAGGAGCTTGATGGGATAGCCTGCTGACGGCGGTTTGATCTCCAAGTGGAAGATTGTTGAGATCGGTGTAGACTCAAACCTCCGCAGGCGAGCTCGATGTCGAGGCAGATCAGAGGCGAGCTCAAGGCGATTTCGAGCTCGAAGAAGTCCGCAGGCGAAGTCGAAGACGCGACCCTCGGGCGAACGCGACCCTCGCGTTGAGCGCCCCAACCATCGCGTCCAGGGGTCCGACCCTCGCGTCGAGCTGAATGCTCGCGTGGCTGGCGACCCCCCTTCTCGCCCTAGGGTTTAGTGTGCGGCGCTTCTCCCCCCCCCTTTCTCCGATTTTCTCTCTGGCGGCAACAGCGGAAAACCCCAAAAAGGCAGCGGAAAACCCCCCTTTAACGCAGCAGCGTTTCAATCTCCAGCTCTCAATTGCTTTTTGAGGGGAGATTAAGAAAAATATTAAAGAAGAGAGAGGAATCTAAAGGGGTTTTATAAGTGGGTTATTATTTAATCTCAAGTGAGATTTGAAAGGGGTTTATTCCCTTTAATTATTAACACTGTAGCTACAGTGTTCATTTGAGAAATCTCAGTTTAGGGATTTGCTCTTGATTTATAATTTCTTGTTTGATTAATAATAAATTATCTGTGTGGCTCCCGAGGACGTAGGCAGTTGCCGAACCTCGTTAAAACTTGGTGTACTTTTTCTATTCTGCGTTTCCGTTGCATTAGGAATTTCAGCGTTAAATTCCCAACAGTCCTCAACAAGGGTGATGTGTTTGTGTTCCCTCAAGGACTCATTCACTTTCAGTTTAACACCGGTTACACGAATGCTATCGCGATTGCAGGACTTGGTAGCCAGAACCCAGGTGTGATCACGGTAGCTAATGCAGTTTTCGGAGCAAGGCCTCCTATTTCTGACGATGTTCTCGCCAAGGCATTCCAGATTGACAAGAAGTTAGTGGACTGGCTCCAAGCTCAGTTTTGGATGGACAATAACTAGGGCTGTTAGAAAACGTTGCTGATCTCTATATATTTTCACTGTGTTTGGGTTTAAATAAGCAGACACTTTGTGCATGTTTGCATGTTGTTGGTAATAAAATCCTTTATGTACTTAGATTACTCTCAAAATGAAACTTAATTTACAGTAAGGCTACGTGTGCGTTCACAGAAATTTTACTTAATCGGATATTACCATACATACATGAATCTTAAAACAGACGGCAAGATTCAGTCACTGGTAAATTAGTCGTTTATTTTCTTACGAGCTTTAATATCAGTTAGCGATGAATTCAATTCGTGCGTACACAGCGAATACAAAATAGTTAGCCCAAGAATAATTAGGAGAACAAGGGACCAGATACATTATGCGGCAAGTAGCTAGGCGTCTTCCAAAAACTAGTTTTACGGACAAGGAGTCCATCAACATAGCAGTTCGTGCAATTATTTTTATTTTCTATGAGACATGGTGATTTAATTTTTTTGTTTCACTTACCCAAAATAGTTAGCCCAAGAAAGTAAGCTAGCTAGCTAGCTAAAAATGTGACCAATAATATTCCACTGTCACTATTTATTCCGATGGAGAAATTGACACGATGGTAACCCACCTCTTACAAAAGCTCTTTATGGCTTGACTGGATGAGCCAACGAGTCCGTGCATGAGCATTAATCACAGCTCCTCCCACGCACCATTCACCATAAATGAATAAAAGCATTTTATATTGCGTCGACGAGCCGCGTATTTTGTACGGTAGGTCATTCCTAGTGCTAGGTGCCCAGCTATTATAAAACGGCCACCAAGTCGATCCGTTGTTTACTATAGCCTACACACCACCTAGCCCCTAGAACATGAGCCAACGAGCCAACGGCGGGCTGGCAATGGTACACAATTCTATCCCAACTAATTCATGTACCAACCGTATCAAATATATTGGTATAACATCAAATCAGTACACGGTACACGGTATAATATACCTTACCAGCTTCAAAATACGGTACAATAGGTGGTACACATTTTTCCTCTACCGTGGTATACCGTACCTACCGACTTTTATATATATATATATATATATATCCATTTCACAACCCTCAGTTAATCTTAACCCTCCATTCAAAAACTCCTCCTTCAAAACGATCGCTCCCTACCTACTCTTCTTCACATCTCAAACCTCAAACCAGATCTGGCCAGTCCCCTTCCTCGGTTCCTCCTCTCCTCCGCCCTCGCTCAGCTCAGCGTCGCTGCCGGCGCCCTCACCCTCGCGGCCTCGACCTCCCCCTCCTCCTCTCCGACTCCACCGCCCGAGGCCCCGAAATCGCCGACTTTGGAGCTCGCCGCCCCCGCTCAGAGTCTGAGTTCCGGGATCCCTGCCGCCGACGAAGGCCACCGTAAAAGGTGAGGCTTTTTTTGGTTGTCTGGATTGAGTTCGATTTTATTTGGGGCTTTTCAATTTTTTTTTTTAATTTAGAGTTGTTGTTAAATGCGGATGTTCTATTTGACTTAGTGAGAGCTTGCTTATAATCAACTGCAGCATCTCCTCTTCTAAAAAAAAATGCAATTATCCCTACAATAAACAATTGAGTGCACTGCATTTTTGAACTATATTTGATTTCCTACTTTCTTTCTTCTTTGATTTTTCTTTGTTATGAGAATGAGAGGGGGTGGTGCCTTGTATTTATACTAGGGGAAATAAATCCTTCCTATTATTGAGGTCTACGGCCTGTATATCTTTTTGTTAATGGAGGTGTGTGATGAATTTTCCTTCTCAAAATTAGTCAGCAACAATTTGTGTAAAGAAATGGCAAATTGCGATAGCATTTATTGCAAAACTCTATCCAAATATTTCTGAACGTAATCATTCTTTCATGTTATAAATAGACATCAGTAATGACATTGATTTAGGAAGGATTAATTATTTTCCTCATTCCAATTTAAGAAATATGTACATATATGATATCTTTCCTTCTTATTTTTTTCATAATATTTTTCCTTTCTCAATATTTTACTGTTTTCACTAGGTTTGCTACATGTTTTTTTTTTTAAATGGAAGTTGGCTATATGTTTTTGTCATACCCATAACTGCGGACGTGTGTATCCATATTTGCTCTCACGCATGTATATGCATCTTCAAACAATGATGACATGCAGCTAAAAAAAGCTAAGATTTATCACCCTCTTCTCCGCCGGCGATAACGGCGCAACAACGGAAGCGACGGCAACAGAAACGGTGGCGGAAATGACGGCGGCAACAACATAAGCAGCGGTAACAACGGCGACAACATCGTCGGCGGCAACAGCGGCAACGGAGACGTGAGGGCCAACGTCCAAATATGTTTTTTTTTAAGTTTTAAGTTTAGTTTTTTTTGTCTAATAATATTGCATTTTGTTTAGTGTGAACGGTTGAGGCGGAAAACACTAAGGGTAATGCTTTATTCATTTTTCGTTTTTTCAACTGCTATAATGGTGGTTACCTGGACAGGAACAAGAACCCCTGTTCTGAAAGTCGTTATAGCAAATGGTGTTGTTTTTATTCTGTCGGTTGCGTTGTTGATTACTCTGGAATTTCTTCATGTTCACAAGACAGTCTTGACCGTCCTGACCTTTGTTCCTGGAGTAGCGATTATTCCAGTTGGACTGATGACCCTTTGGCTTAGCAATAATGGCTCAATAATCGCTCTGGAATAATCGCTCCTCCCGGGACAAGGGTCAGGACGGTCATGACTATCTTGTGAATGTGAAAAAATTCCAGAGCAATCAACAACGCAACCGACAGAATAAAAACAACCCCATTCGCAATAACCACTTTCAGATCTGGGGTTCTTGTTCCCGTCCAGGTAGCTACCATTACAGCAGTTGAAAAAACAAAAAATGAATAAAGCATTACCCTTAAGGTTTTCCGCCTCAACCGTTCACCCTAAACAAAATGCAATATTATTAGAAAAAAAACTAAATTTAAAACTTAAAAAAGAAACATATAGTCAGATGATTCATGAAAGCACAAATTCTTTGGTGATATATTGATGAATTTGGGCATCTTAAGAGTTAAGATACCATCAGCAAGGTGTCATCAGGTACTAAACGTGTCAGTTTGGGGGCATCTTAAGAGTTAAGATACCATCAGCAAGGTGTCATCAGGTACTAAACGTGTCAGTTTGGCTTCTTGTATCTACTTTAGTTGGTATACCATCAGCAAGGTGTCATCAGGTACTAAACGTGTCAGTTTGGCTTCTTGTATCTACTTTAGTTGGTTGTGATTGTGGGGGCTAACACCCACGTGATTACGCGTGAAACAATTCCGCGTGAGAATGCCAAGGCCCACACAATTTTGATTGCATAAATAACAAAGCTCCTAGGGTTTTGTGCGGTAGCAAGAGGTTGTTATTTTTTCGGCTGTGCAAAGGAACTCTTGGGTGTGCAAAGGAACTCTTGGCTGTGCAAGAGGTTGTGATTAAAAAAATGCAATTATCCCTACAATAAACAATTGAGTGCACTGCATTTTTGAACTATATTTGATTTCCTACTTTCTTTCTTCTTTGATTTTTCTTTGTTATGAGAATGAGAGGGGGTGGTGCCTTGTATTTATACTAGGGGAAATAAATCCTTCCTATTATTGAGGTCTACGGCCTGTATATCTTTTTGTTAATGGAGGTGTGTGATGAATTTTCCTTCTCAAAATTAGTCAGCAACAATTTGTGTAAAGAAATGGCAAATTGCGATAGCATTTATTGCAAAACTCTATCCAAATATTTCTGAACGTAATCATTCTTTCATGTTATAAATAGACATCAGTAATGACATTGATTTAGGAAGGATTAATTATTTTCCTCATTCCAATTTAAGAAATATGTACATATATGATATCTTTCCTTCTTATTTTTTTCATAATATTTTTCCTTTCTCAATATTTTACTGTTTTCACTAGGTTTGCTACATGTTTTTTTTTTTAAATGGAAGTTGGCTATATGTTTTTGTCATACCCATAACTGCGGACGTGTGTATCCATATTTGCTCTCACGCATGTATATGCATCTTCAAACAATGATGACATGCAGCTAAAAAAAGCTAAGATTTATCACCCTCTTCTCCGCCGGCGATAACGGCGCAACAACGGAAGCGACGGCAACAGAAACGGTGGCGGAAATGACGGCGGCAACAACATAAGCAGCGGTAACAACGGCGACAACATCGTCGGCGGCAACAGCGGCGACGGAGACGTGAGGGCCAACGTCCAAATATGTTTTAAAGTTTTAAGTTTAGTTTTTTTTTGTCTATTAATATTGTTTTTTGTTTAGTGTGAACGGTTGAGACGGAAAACCCTAAGGGTAATACTTTATTCATTTTTCGTTTTTTCAACTACTTTAATGGTGACTACCTGGACGGGAACAAGAACCCATGCTCTGGAAGTCGTTATAGCAAATGGGGTTGTTTTTACTTTGTCAGTTGCATTGTTGGTTACTCTGGAATTTCTTCACGTTCACAAGACAGTCTTGACCGTCCTGACCTTTGTCCCTTGAGTAGCGATTATTCCAGTAAGGACAAGGGTCAGGAGGGTCAGGATTGTCTTGTTGATCTGAAGAAATTCCAGAATAATCAACAACGCAACGGACAGAATGAAAACAACCCCATTCGCAATAACGACCTCCAGATCAGGGGTTCTTGTTCCCGTCCAGGTAGCTACCATTACAGCAGTTGAAAAAACGAAAAATGAATACATCATTATCCTTAGGGTTTTCCGCTTCAACCGTTCAACCTAAACAAAATGCAATATTATTAGAAAAAAAAACTAAATTTAAAACTTAAAAAAGAAACGTATAGTCAGATGATTCATGAAAACACAAATTCTTTGGTGATATATTAATTAATTTGGGCATCTTAAGAGTTAAGATACCATCAGCAAGGTGTCATCAGGTACTAAACGTGTCAGTTTGGCTTCTTGTATCTACTTTAGTTGGTCTCGTTACAAATAGCCTGCAGATTATAGCTCTATGCTAGCTAGAACTGCTATCGCGATTGCAGGACTTAGTAGCCAGAACCCAGGTGTGATCACGGTAGCTAATGCAGTTTTCAGAGCAAAGCCTCCTATTTCTGACGATGTTCTCGCCAAGGCATTCCAGATTGACAAGAAGCTAGTGGACTGGCTCCGAGCTCAGTTTTGGATGGACAATAACTAGGACGGCTGGCAAATGCTGATGGTCTCTATATACTTTCACTGTGTGTGGGTTTAAATAAGCAGACACTGTGTGCATGTTTGCATGTTGTTGGCAATAAAATCCTTTATATATGTACTTCGATTACTCTCAAAATGAAACTTTACAGTAAGGATATGCGTGTGCTCACAGAAAATTTTACTTAATCAGATATTACCATACGTGAATCTTTAAACAGGTGGCAAAAGTCAGTCACTGGTAAACTTGTTTATTTTCTTGCGAGCTTTTATATCAGTTTGCGATGAATTCGTGCGTACACAGCGAATACAAAACCAAACACTTCCCAGCCCCGTCTCTGCACAAAAATTCATGTGAATACAAGCGTAACACATGAAATTTTCAATTAGTTGCCAGAGAGAAACCATAGAGCAAAGCAGACTTTCCGTTTTGATTTCATTCAGAAGTGGGTTGTTTAGTCCACAGCAATTAATACACTGCAGAAGATGCAAGGATCAAATTAGTCAAATCAGTTCATGATTATTCATATACTCGTTGGGGATCACAGTCGTCTCCTCTGTAACTGAGATGTAGCTGGAGACGTTTTAGCAGTCTGTCATCTGGAAAATTTGAAATTACCTGCAATTTTTATATAGTTGACTACAATCAGATGACCATGAACTAATCTTCAAGAAAACAACCCAAGTTTCAGGTCTAATAAATTTAATCAGCAAAAAATCTTTTATAAAGTTTCTTCTGGGCATTCTCCATTATGCTCCTCAAAAGAAAATGATCTGCTTCATTACTTGATGATGAATAGCCAATGAATCAGATGTGAAAGAGTAAAAAAGAAGCAGTAGACTACCATGTGTTAAACTGTGCATTCAATAATTTCAATTGAGTTTTATGACATCAGAGTATGATGAATGCATGCACGCATTGATGAATACATTAAGAAAACCAATAATATCGATCGATGCCTGTTCTTACGACATTTGGCGAAGGAGGATATTAGTATGTATAACAGGATGGAAATAGTACTCAACTAGTTACTAGAAAGAAGCTACCAAACATTTATGGGCTGGACACCTGAACACAGGTAGCGATGACAATTTTTTTTAAAATCCGTTTTAAATTCGTGGCCAGCAAAGATTTGAACATGGCTTGCTCCGATATCATATTAAGTCAAGTCTCTTTAACCATTATACCAAAACTATAAAATTTTAGGGAAGATTGAGCATTATAGTTATATATTAAATCTAACAGCATCAAATATGTCAATAGCTATAAATATCTCATGGCCCTTGATGATAAACAATTGTGTGGCTAGTTTAACAATTGATCTAGTTGCCACAAATTCATTAATAAAAGAAAGAGGGGAGGATTTGCCAACAAATCTAGAATAAAATAAAATAAAAATAACAAAAGGGATTAGGAAATCAAGCTATTAGGCATCAAATACTTATAAATATAACCCATTATTCTCTACTTATATATCCAACATACGTACCAAGAAGGAAGGAGACTCCAGCCGGCTGAGATTAAATATCGGGTTCGGGTCTTAAACCATACGACCCGGTCGAGTTTGTTATACGGGCCTAATATCCATGTTTTCCCTGGGGCTTGAAACTCGGGCCTCGCATTAACTTCAGCCCAGAATCATGGGCTGGGCAGGAAGAGCCACTGATGTCAAACCAAAAAAAAATGTCGATAAATTTGAAATAAATATTTTCATATATCCAAAGAGAATAACTCATATGACGAACATTAGATCCTATTTTTTGGCAAAATAAAAAAAAAGCTGCGTTTTAGCTCTTGCAACTCAATGCCCCTCCTTCACATTTCCAATTCTTCATTGTCGCTGGGTTATCTTGCTCCTGACGCATCATCGACGGAGAAAGCTCAAGTTTATGTACCGGTAGTTGAAGGGCCTTCATTTATATAAACAGATTTTTAGGGTATTTTGTAATTTATGTTGCCTAACAGAGAGAGTTTTGCAATTTATGTAATTATTTCATCAGTTTATTTTTCAATGAAACGTAGTGATTAAAAATAATAATTTCACTTACTCAAAATATATAGTTACCGAAAGGAAATAAGCTTAGCTGGCTATTTTAAAAATGTGATCAATCTAAGGATTCATAGCATCGAAATCCGCGCAGGACTTATATTTGAGGGGGAAAAGATAGCCTTGTTCCTTTTTGCTTTGAACAAACAAAGAAAGATAATAAAGCACAACCCTAGCGAAAGTTTTAGATTAATATTTTTCCAGAACACATTTAACAGTTGAACATTATCTATTCTATTTTTATCAGCTAATATTCTTTTCTTTTATATCCTTTGTGACCAGAGTTAGATGTGGTCTAGTGTTAGACTTAAGATGATTGTTATATACTGTCTTAAATTTTTCTAGCACACGCAACTAGATATTGAGCTTGGTAATAATTAATAGCACAGTACTGTGTTTTATGGTGTTTTGTGAAGTTGTGAGCATTTAATACGAATATCAATATTTTTATCCATTTCCTAAAATTAAAATAGACTACTCTCCATTTTGTCCATTTCCTAGAATTAAAATAGACTTATGAACATACATAATGTAACCATATTTGAGTTTGTAGCCCATCAAATTGAAAAGCTCTCATTAAATGTTAGAGCTTTTCTTTCTCACATCAACGTGCACTTTTCCCCACCCGTCACTTTTATTGCGAGCATTGCATGGGAATTGAACCATGTGCTCAGCTCAATGCTTCATTGAATGAAGTCATTACTCTTTTGATAAGCCCAATTAACAACTTAAATGACTAATTAAAGCATTGTGTAGAAGAGAGTGCTCCCTCTCTCAAAAACATAAACGAGAGTACCACTTTCTTTTAGGATTTTGATGCATGATCGTTTCTGAACTTTCTATACTCATTCCTTTATGGCTATTGACGGCTCAAACCTCGATACCCTTAAATTAATTAATGTCACAAATACCGTGCAGATTCAAAACTTAATTCAACTATAATCGTCTTATACCCTTAAATTAATTAATGTCACAAATACCGTGCAGATTCAAAACTTAATTCAACTATAATCGTCTTATAGTATCTATGTCTTCGTAGGTCATTTCCAATATAAGCAGTATCATAGTTGTTAGGTCCTCGTCTGTGCAATATCTTTCTTTGAATAATAACAAATTTCAATTTGCTACTAACTTGTGGTTGTTCCCTGTGCAGGATGGCAATGAATAGAGCCGAAAATGAGCACTAATGGATATAAGTTTCAGCTCAAAATGATGAAACCACAAGTAGCTCTATCGTTTGGCATACACTCATCGATTGGCAGATTGTACATTGAGAAGCACTCGTCAATCTATTGGCGCGCTGTCATTTCAATCGATTCGTTAATTTAAATTGGTCATTTCTAATATAAGTAACATCGTAGTTCTTACGATCTTGTCCGTACAATATCTTTTGTTTGAAAAATAACCAACTTCAATTTGTCACTAATTTGTGTTTGAGATTACTCACGCAAGATGACAATGAACAAAGCAAAAAAAATGAGCGCTAATGGATATAAGTTTCAGCTTAAAACAATTAAACTACAAGCAGCTCCATTGTTTGGTCTACACTTATTTATTGGCAGATTGCCCATCAACAAGCACTCGTCAATCTATTGGCATGATGTTATTTCAATCGATTCATTACCTTAAATCAACGAGAAATTTTGACGGAGACCACTTTCCCATCAATAGGGGATTTCGCCCATCGATGAACAAATCGCCCATTGATAAGCACTCATCGCTCGTTTTAAACTATATCGGTGCACCTCTCCTACTCCACACTACGAGTCAGATACCTCTATCTCCTCCATCACTTGGCTTGGACTGAAATGAGCACTCATCGTCTTCATGTCCAATGCCACAATCTTCATCAGCATGTGTGTCACTCAGTCGTGTCTGCTTGTGAGCTCCACCTAATCTGACACTATCCTCCTCAAGTCTACACACCAACCAACTCCTGCTCCCGTGATGGCTCTGAATAATTATATGCTAACAACTCTACTTCTAGAATCTCATCTGATTCTCTCTATCGGTCTCATCCGTCACATACTCGTTTGCCTTATTTACCATCAGATTTGTCTCGTTACTACCATCAGAACTTTTCACCACTTTCTGACCAATCTGAGCATCATCTGAAAAATCAAACCCTTCCATCGTGTTCAGAGCACTCTAAAACCTAGGAGTTAACTCCTAGATCATTGAAATCTGCCACCAAACCCTCAATTAGGAAATAAATTAATCTACTTTTTTTTATTTTCTTTAGCTTCATCTTGATTCTTATAACGTTGCCAATCTTCAATTTGCACGACGTCGACTTCTATCTTGCGAACTCGCTCCCGGATCCACCATCGTCGCTCTAAGATCTTCAATTTGCACGACGTCGACTTCTATCTTGCGAACTCGCTCCCGGATCCACCATCGTCGCTCTAATACCACTTATTAGGATTTTTAGATCTTCTATCTTGCGAACTCGCTCCCGGATCCACCATCGTCGCTCTAATACCACTTATTAGGATTTTTAGATCACGTAAAAACCCGAAAAACCACCAAACGCAGCAAATAGAATCACACGATATTTAACGTGGAAAACCCTCAACAAGGAAAAAACACTGTATCAAAATCAATCAACTATCACCTCCAAATTACAATCTTTTGCACGGATAAAGACCGCGAAACCCTCTCTCAATGATGTAATCTTTTACACTGACAAAGACCACGAAACCCTCACGTCTTGTACAATATTCTTGAATCAGGTTACGTCCTCTGCTAACCCTAGATTACAAGAATATTGACTCTCTCTCTCGTCTGCTTAGGTTTTTCCTCCAACAAGAGAAGTATATACATAGGGAAACCAAAGCTCTATCTCTAGCCTAACTTCCTAATTAGAATATGATTCAAACTAATAATCATGATGACACCCAAGCTGCTAATCATTATAGATCTCTAACCCTATCTAATTCTCATAAAGTTATACAAAGAATCAAAGACATAATCCCAACATCATTAGTTTATTTTCAATGAAACATAGTGAACTTTTTATTTTGGGGCCTAGAAGCAATTTTCCCTTGTTTCATTATTAGCGTTGGTCCGATAACATCATTTTCTAGTTTTGTATGATTAGGCATTTAAGGCTGAGGACAAAGGCAGCGCCTAGCCACCGTAATATGGGCACATGACTTCAATTTCGAGGCAAAAGCCAAACTTATAGGTAGCTTCTTAAACTTCTTTTAAAAATTTGCTTTATGACTCACATAATCACATTAGGCAAAAAAGCCTTTTGGCTCGCGGACCAACCGCGAGCCACAGCTCGCGTGAGAGGAACAGGGGGGTGGGCCCCCCCACTGTTGGGGGGCCCACCCCCCTGTTTCTCTCACGCGAGCTGAGGCTCGCGGTTGGACCGCGAGCCAAATAGAAGAGTTGTAAAATTAGCCCCCCTTGTCTCATTCTGTCCTTGTCCTCTTCTACCAAACGTCTCTCTGTTTCCCTGCGGAAACGAAAGAAAAAAGAGAACTCGATCCCAACCAACCACCCTCTGCAGAAACGAAAGAAAAAGAGACCTCTCTACCGACCCCTCTCTGTTCTTTTGCAGAAACGCAAGAAAAGAAAAAAGTAAAAACAGCTAGAAGTGAAAAAAACGTTTGTCTCTACCGCCTTATACCGTGACTGCCCAGCTCAGCGCTCTGTCGACCGCAGACTGTCAAAGGCTGCGTCGACGACTGTAAAAAAATGTTTTTCTGATATTTAGCATTTTTCATGGGTATGTACTTCCTTCATTTGTTATAAGAGAATATTGCTGGTTCTACTACCTACTGCTCGTAATCACTCACACAAATTCTCATACAGAGCATTGGCATTATCATTTTTAACAGAATCAAGTAAAAATTTCTCATCTTCATCAGAAAACACACATGGGTTGTGCGCGCATTTTCACCACCTCAACAGAAAAAAGAAAACTAAGCATCCAAAATGGAGTTTAATTTGATGGGTACGTTTTTTTTTCCCATTTTGTTTTTCCCCGCCTTCCAAATACCTGGCTGGGTGTCGTCGCCGCATCCATCTCCCCGAGCTCCAAAATGCGAAACCGAGAGAGTGAGGTTAGTCCACTGCCTTCCCCTCGATCTAGCCCTCGATGAAGGGGGCTTCAGCCCACTCGCAAACCCATCAACCACAGTCGAGCTCAACAGCAAGCTAGACTCCGACAAAAACAACAAAAAAGAGGGAAATTTGGGAAGCAGAAGAAGATGCCATTGCGGAGGAGGGAAGGGAGCATGAGGAGAAAGGAGACGCAAAGAATGTCGGTGGATCTTGATTAATTTATCTATTCGGATGACTGTTCATGCTACAGTAATTTGAACAGTAAATTAATTGCTGTAGCATGAACATGAAATACTACATACATCTGTTCTCTCTCCCCTCCCAATGTATCCACGTCAGCTCAATTTTCAAATTTCAAAATGCCC